GGTGAAACTCACTAGAGAAGCATATTGCAGACAGAATTGTACAAACCTCGCGAGGTTAAGATGGAAGCATTTTGGCTCGCACTTCTGAACAAACATTGGGCTCTCAGGGATTGAAATTAGGCGCATTCGAAATTTCCTAATCGCCTCGCGGCATTAACTTAACCCAACTTAACCTGTACTTCTTTGAGCTATGAAATTGTTAGTTGGTCACATTATGCATACTTGAACACATGCCAGTTCAGTATACACCTGTGCGACACCTTGTTCCATCATCATTTCGTTGTAATCGTTGAAGTGAGCGAACATCGCGGCTTACGGATCTACTTCTTCTCAGCAAACATTTAGAGGCACAAATTGTTCATACTGAAATGCAAAAAGACGTAACAAACATCCTTACAGAAATAGAAAAAGTCGTGACTAATAATTTTTTTTCATAAAACTATGTGGGGAGTTGTAATTCGATGAAATCCAACATAAGTTACGACGTTTTGCATTTCAGCGACGGTGTTTGTTAGGTCTTTTTGCATTTCAGGTGACGATATATGATTTATGTAGCTACATAAATATATTAAAAAAAAAAATTAAAACAATGAAAATTTATAATTTTAATAATTCATCCTTATACAGTGACTCAAACAAATGACCACGGGTTGATTTTCTTTAAATATTCGTAATGTTTTTCGAGCTAAATTTTTTTTTTGTTATTTGTTATTTATAAAAATATCGTCTAAGCTTTAACCAAAACCAGGTAAATCACAATTTCAAACTTTATACACAATTTAGGAAAATTCAACAAATTTTCATCAAAATTCCAACTTTTTAATTCTGGATTTTTAGAAAATTTTTGGGCATGCAGTTTTATAGCCCATACAATTTTAGTCCAATGTCCAAGTTTTAAGCGGCTAAAAAATCGCGTTGATTTTTTGAGAATTTTTTTTTTTGGTGAAGGATTTTTGCACCTTTTTTCATATACATATGTAAGTATGAATTTCTTATGAAATAAAATGCGTGAGACCGTCAGCAACAAAATTTCAAAATATCAAGTTTTTGTAAATTGCGCTTGTTATATTAATAAAACCCGAAAAAGTAGTAAAAATTCAGAGTAAAAAGTTGAAATTTTGATGAAAATTTGTTAAATTTTCCTAAATTTTGTATAACGTTTTAAGCTAGAAGATATTTTTATATAAAAATAACAAAAAAAATTTAGTTATTTTTATATAAAAACAACAAAAAAAATTTAGCTAGAAAAATATCGAGCCCTAATCGCCAAAATAACGTAAGCGACATTTTTGTTTCAAAATTTTCGTTTTGATGCAGAAATATTCCTAGAGCATCTAGATGCATTTCTGCATCAAATATAAAATTTTGAATTTGATATGCACACCCGCCTATGCGACGATGCGACGGCATGTCATACTTGACTGGTAGTACAGACAAGTCTGCTTGTGTATGTTCAGCTTAATCAACAGAGGATTTATATATTTCCCAATTTGATTTATAAATGTGTATATATGTATGTAGGCATGTGGTTTTAATTCGATTATTTTTGCTTGCTTCCGATTAATTTTTTAATTGCTAGATTTATTTATAGAAAAAATAACCAGTTTAAGCTCGAAAACTGTGCATCTACACTTAGAATCTGTATACACACAATACATCTAAATTAAACAGACATACCCGATTAGTGATTGAATATTGTAACAATGTAGCAAACATTGAAATAAACCCCATTAAATGAAAAAGGGTTCCTTTCTATGTTTTTGCTCTCTACTCCCATTACAGCAATAACAAAACAGCGATAAATAATAAGAGATTCGAGACATGCAAAAAGCGATTAACTATAATAATGAAAGGAAAATCGAAAATTCGTTGTCCGAAATATACTCAATTATCGAAAGAAGGAATGTTTAATAACAACAATAAGAACAAGTACTTGTATGTATCTAAAATGAAAGCTAACTACTGTGGTTATAGAACTGGTTATAGAACAAAAAATCCAAAAACATATACACACGTAAATCGAACAGTTTAATTGCAATATTATAACAAAGAAAAATAAAAATTATAATTAAAATAGCAACAGTATATGAATTTTAAGAAAGAACATAAAGAGAAAAACAAAAAAAAAATTAAGAAAAAATATCTCCATTCAAGTAATTAAATAAATACTTTTTTCTGAAATAAACAAATTGAGCCGCTGTTTTATTTTAAAATGCGAAACTAAGTGGAACAGTAGTGTTATTGAAATTTCAAATTGCCTAATGCCTAATTTCAGTCGTCAAAATAGTACGGAAAATGAAAACCGGAGAGTTGTGGTTGTATGTGGCTAGAAGGTGATCAAGCAATCAAAGGGGATTGCCAACATTTGAAACATTAATATCTATAAGCCTATTGGTAGGGTGATCGGCTCGGTTTCTCCAAGCCGGTTTCTACCGGTTTTTTTAGATATCTTTGGGTGGTTTCTTGAAATTTTGATTTTATCGAACAAACCGGGTTTTTTTCATTTCAAACAAATCTTGACCTCTCAATAAAAGTTTAGAGTTTTTCGAAGTTTTCAAGGCTTTTTTCTGTTTCCCGTAAACCCCTAAAGAGTTTTAATATTATATAATAGCTTATTTGGGGATGAACTTTGTATCATATTTGATTCCAATAAATTAATATTTGTCACTTAAATGTTATCTCCATATTTGGCCGAGCTTCTCTCCCAATTCGTGTTCCGCTTCTTGATATTGCCGACCCAAATGGAGAGATCTACAATTTTACTCCACCTCCGAAGAAAGTTTTTATGGCAGAATTGCACTCGGAGGTTTGTCATTGCCTGCCGAGGGGCAAGCGCTATTTGAAAAAAACTTTTTTTGATATTGCTGGAAGCAGAAATTGAACGTTGGGCCTCCCAAGTGGCTCGGCTTTGGCGGCAAGATCACTACTGAAATGCGAAAAAAGTCAGAACAAATGCAATAAAGTATTAAAAAAAAAGTTAATACAAGACCAAACGTGCGCTCTGCTTAATTTTTATTTGCTTTAAATGCTTTTGATCTTAAAAAACTTTTAACTTATTTTGGTTTGCTCTTTTCTAAATTAAAACTATTTTAACTGGTAATAGTTTTATTGTAATTTTTGGTCATGACCATATATATTGGGCTGCGACCTAACTAGATCTATTGTGCTAACTTTTAACTAGTCACTCCAGCCTTAGGCTATTAATAAAATTAAACACTTTCCACATTCTGGATGGAGATGATAATCGTTCTCCAACGTGTATAAGTCTAAATCGAGTTACATATGCGCCGACCATCACCAATACATACTCTGAGGTTTCCTCTTCTAGCCCAAAAAATCTGCAGTTCGTCTACTCAGAGAATCTTATTTTCCGCAGATAGTACCGGTGAGAGTTCTTAAACCCTCTCTTGAACTGCCTTTTATCGCGAGCCATTGGGTTGCAACTTGCATGTCCTCTCACCTCTAGGGGTTCTGCCGTGTATCCTCTGGATGGACCACAGAAAAGTTGAGGACGGACAAGGCTCCGTTGGGCACCGCATTTCGCTAGATTGTCAGCCCTTTCATTGGACAAAGTTCAACGACTGACTTCTCTACTGATAACATTTCTCTCGACGGATCTATTTGCAAGAAAGATGGTATGTAATACCGCCATTAGGCTTAAGGCGACCAAGAAATGGACGCATCCACATATCGGTCACTGTAAAGCTTTGAATGATCTTACTACCCTCAAAAGAGGAATGGTCAATGGACACTGTCAGGAAAAGAGGAGCAATCCATGTTTACATGGACGGATCGAAGCTTGACAAAAGGGTTGGTGGTGGGGTTTATTCGGAGCAGTTAGGCATATCGTTAAACTTCCGCCTTCCTGACTCCTTCATGCAGTGTTTTTCAGGCGGAACTGATGGCTATTTTAAAGGCCGCATTACAGTGTGATACGTTTCCTAGTCATGATATCTATATTTTCACTGACTGCCAGGCGACAACTAAATCTCTGGGAAAAATGTTGCTGACTTCAAAAGTAGTTGCTCAATGCCGCCGACCTCTCAACGAGATGGCTAGGAAATTCAGCACACACGTTGTCTGGATACCTGGCCATTGCGAAATTCAGGGAAACTGCAAGGCTTACGAACTCGCGCGACATGGAATGACATTGCCTGATACAGATATAGGGGATACTCTCAGCATCTCTCTTCAAACATGCAAATTCATAGAAGTTGGCAATGGAAGATGGCGAATGGGACCGACCTGTCACATTGCCAAACACTCTGGCCAGCCAGACGCCCAACGCACTGAGTCTCTACTTAATCTAAGGAGGCAAGACATTCGCATAGTGACAGGAGTTCTCACCTGTCATTGGATTACACTCAGCTAGACTGGGCGCACCCTGGAACGACTACTGCAGACGCTGCATGGATGAAGACGTAGAGAACACCATCCCACATCTCTGTCATTGCCCGGCTCTATCAAAACGGAGAACAAAAGCTCTTGGGAGCCATTTCTTCAACGATCTCGAACACCTTAAGGCGATGAACGCCAGAAGCCCACGCACTTTTTTGCTAAGCACCAAGTGGTTTACAGAGGAACGGGGATAATTAAAAACCTCATGCGATATCACAAAGGACCCTAAGTCTAAGTAAGTCCTACTTAGGACTGCCGCCCAACCTAACCTAACCTATCCTTTTGTATGCTCGTTTACATTTTTAAGGAGGCATGTGTACTGTACACGATCTTAAGGTCAGCTTAGCTAGAGAATTACTCTACTATTTGGCTTCCACTACACCACATGATTTCTGTCACAGAAACTCTGTGTATTCGTTTTTCTGTCCAGACAACAAAACGAAATATGTATTTTTTATCACATTCAATTTTATTTTAACAGGCGGCAATATTTGCATGTTTGAATACATTTCTGAGCGACAGCATATAAAATTAAAATATTTATTTTTTTTGTGATTTGCTGACAGAGAAATAATCCCATATCCCTAATTTTTTGCACGCAGATCGGGTAGCATCGAGGGCCTTTCACCCACCTCTTCAGGGCCAAATCTAATAGCAGCGCTGTCTGGTGATACAGCGTCTGTTGGAACATGGAAATTAATTAAGGGTAAAGTTTCACAGACATTTGAGGATATAAAGTCTTCGAAAAGCAGCGCTCAGGCTTTGTCAACATCAGCGCCCAAAGGTAAGTAAGCTTTACCAAAATCGCTTTGGTGATTCAGTATAAGAACTCATCCTTATTTGTAGCTGAGAGCCCACGCCAACCATTCAAACAATTACCCAACGACCCGGATTCCGATCCCGAGAATCCCACAACACGTTCTTCCATCAGCGACGACCTGCCACTTGACTGGGAACGTAAGTCGTGCCATCTCAAAGGCGGCGATTCTGATTCCTCACTAGACGGTGAACAACTATTGCTTGAAGGGGAGGTTGAACGATCGCGCTTGCGTCGTGGTCTAGCAAATCTCAAGTCTAAAGTCAAATCAAAAGGACACCAACACTCTCAACAACAACCTCATTCACATTCCCAACAGCAAACCGGTCTTGCGACTGCAGCACTTTCATCGGCTACAATTTCCACTGCATTCGGCACCGCCTCCATTAAACCAATGAAGAAAGAATCGAGCGGTTCTAATGCGTCTTCGACGGGTTCATTGCGCGATGCATTTTTGCGTCGACGACGTCCATCGCCGACGGATCAGACCGATCGAGAAGTGGTGGTGCCACGATTGGAGCCACATGAAGCGGTGCCGAAGGACAATAAGGCGATTGGGAAGACCAAAAAGCGAGGAATAATAGCAGGCAAAAAAGAGGTAGAAATCGAGTCGGGCGTAGAAATGATGGAGGACACATTACCAACTTTACCAGATGACTCAAAGGTTGCCGACGAAAAGCCTACTACAACCTCTGGCCGTCTGCGTAATGATTTACATCTGCATTTTGGGAAAGCAGAAGAAGGCAGTGAAAATCAACGCTCACCACGGACGCCCGGCGAAGCGGCGGAGCACGCGAAATGGCAACAGGAAGTGGACACACTGAGACGTGCGGCAGAAATACTGCGAAGCGAAGAAGAAAGTCAGCGCAACATTGGATCAACGCGGAAGTTCGCTGCCAGTATGCCTATAAGTCGCGTGGCAATTCTTTTGATGGTATTGTTCCTGCCTGTGCATGGCTTTATACGCGGCGTTCTGGCGTGTTTGATGAGTTTCGCCATTGCCGACTCGTTGAGTATACTAGCACAATCTTTTATTTACAAATTCTTCCAAACGCACCCCGAACAATCCGACTTCGAGATACCAGACTACACGAAGATGCCAATTTGTGAGGTGCCTGCAGTGGAAGAGCACAAGACAGTGAAGTCATACACAGTAAGTGTACAGGGTTTCAAAATAATGTAGTTTCATTAGAAGTGAACTATTTTTCAGGGTTGGATGAACGAAGTTTTCAGCTACGACCCCTTAACATTTCATATATCGCAGACCAATTCGGTTTATTTGAGACTCGATGGCACCATTTTACGTGTCTCAACCACTACGTCCCGCGTACCCAAGCGGGTCATGTGGAACGAGCCACCCATAGATATAAAGCATATGCACTTTAGCGCACATCGCACATTCAATTTACTCGGCTGCAGTATTGAACTTTTGCCATTGGGTTTGGCGCGCAAGCGGTGAGCAAAAATTCTCAAAATTTGCATGCACCTTTATTATTCAAGATTAACGTTTCACTTGGCTTTGGTTAGGTATTTTAATCGAAAGTATCCGATACAGTTGATTATCAAAAAAGGCAGCGAAGACGATATGCATCTAGATCTTTCGGAAGATCCTTCAATCCTTCACTCTGCCAGAGGTAGTAGAACAGAACTGATATCAATGGATAGCAGGCTATCCCAGGTTTCCAACGATTTTATGGAACAATATACGGATTTAAAAGAAACCGAATCTAGTTCGCATGATGTTGACTTCGCATCCGCCGTTATGAATGCCGATGTGAGTATCAAACCTCTTCTCGAGCGTTCGAAAGCTTTTTGAAATTTTGCGATACTTGCAGTTGCGACAATTACAAGACAACACACAGAACAACGATAATCTTATACCATGCGGCGATGAGGTGCGTCTCATACTCTTTGCGCGTGCCGATCGCGAGAAAGAGGACTGGTATCGGCGTTTTGTGGCAGCAAGCGAGGGCGATGTGCACGAACAAGTGCTGCGTCTGCTTAACCTAAAATTAGTAGACGATGCCGAGTTGCAGAGGGCTGTTGCAAAAGCGTCACAAATGCCTTTGGATCCCAGTGCTAAGGTAATATTATTTAACAATTACATTAATACTCGTTTATGTACATTTGTATGCTCATATTATTTCACATCCACAGCGAGACATTTCTTCAATGGAACAGGACAATAATGCGGATAATGAGTCCCATGTACTACCTCCGGATATGGCACCGCCATTGGTTGTTGAAAGTAAAACAGAGAAGAGCGAAATGTTCAAGGATATTCCCGACGATATGGAAGTGGTGCCCACCCCAACTGATACCTTCGAAGGTTTACTCATGAGTTCCAGTGCTGCGCGCAATCCGCCAGACTACATACGTTTTATGGCTATTTATCAGGTGCGTCCATGTGAATTAACAAATTTTCATACTTTTAAATTTCTCGTTACCTTCACATCCATCTTTATTTTTTTAACAACGAAATAACCCTGCTGTAATTGCGCAGTCAGGGTTCGAAAGTGAGAAACCTTTTCCGAGTGTACAGTTTACCATTGCCTGACAAAAGCCGACCGCTTTACCAGTAAACTATATTTAGATGCAGTTAAGACTAGAAATGTATCCAAAGATACATATAACGTACCTCTTTCCACATGGCTATGGCCGCTTTCAACTCTCTTTTCAATGCAAAAAAATGTTCTGCGCCACCCGATAACTGATAGTAAGCTCCCTGATTTCTTCCTAACCTAAAAAAGTAGAATACTCAAGGCAATATTCTTCAACATTGAATCAGGTGTTTGACAAAGACTTCAAGGGTCATACACAAATCTGGCAACACTGCGGTTTTATGAGTCAGACAGATCTAGCTAACCTAAACTCGCGTTGTAGGAGAGACTAAAATTTGATTTACACTTGAAATCAGAGACCGCAAGAAAAACTTTTTTAAAATTTTTAAATAAATTTTTTAAAGATACTATTGGAATTGTCTGGCATTGCAATGTAGTAGTATTTCGGAGGCTACTGGGAATTTTCAGGATTTTCGGGACCACTTCGGCATTATTCGGACTATTTTAGGTTTCTCGGGGTTCTCTGGACTATTTCGGTATTATTGGGACTACTTTCTGATTTCCGGAACAATTTCGGGATTTTCGTGATTCTAGGGACTATTTCGGGATTATCTAGATTATTTCGAAATTTTCGATGGGATTTCAGTATTTTCGAGACTTCTAGAGATTACTTTTGTATCCAGTATTTAGTACATTAGGACGGAGTAATTTGTTCGGAGAAAAATTTTCGAAGAAAGTGTCTAGCAAATTCCAATTCTACGATTGATTCTAAGCAAAAATTGTGAACTAACTACATATATACCAAAAGTGACGTTTGAGCCTCCCAATTTTCAAAAGAAAAAGCAGTATAATGTAACTTTTTTGGTCGAAATTTATTAATTTTTTCTCGGTTTTGTGAAGTAGTTTCTTTATCTCAACGCGTAAATGCCTCGTAACTGTGTAAACCTTGCAAATAAATGAATTTTGTATATAAAATTAGATGAATTGCCCTACAACATTTTGTAAGTGAAAAATTAATTTCGTTCAGAAAAAATTATAATACACTGATTTTTCCTTTAAAAATTATGAGCGTCAAACGTAATTTTTGGTATATAGTTTGTTGAACATTTTTGCCTAGAATCGAAGATGCACTTTTTTCGAAATTAAATTACTCCACCCTAATGTCCATACATGGTAAATATTTTATTATTACCCACAAAATAAATACGCGTACCTAAATACATACTTTTTACTCAGTACTTAGTAAATACAACTTTGCCCATGGCCGATATGGGCATTTCTAGTCTGACGATGTGATACTTGTATGACAAAATGTCAAAAAATAAAATGAAAAAATCTGAATTTTAAAAAGGTTTTTCTTTATTTGCTTACTAACTAAAAAGTTCTTTAATAGCTGAAATACAATGCCGGCGAACGGCGAACTCACCACAGCGAAATTCGCGCTGTCAAAATTAGAACACCCGCAAGCATATGAAATTGAACACAGCCAAAGCGAAATGCGAAGTTCGCTTGGCGGCGTTTCATGGCGATAGATTTATTTCTATCGCCCTGCTGGGCGATGACAGCTGTGTGTGCCAAAGGTGGCCGTATTTGTTTTTTGCTTTCAAAGTTTTAAAAGAAAACAACCTAAACACGATTTTTTTTTGTTGTTTGAAAAATATATGTAGTTGTGGATTCGTTAAATCTGGCTTGAAACAAATTATTTACAAAAATCTTTCTTTGTTTTATATTTATATTTGTTATCATTTCCTCATTTCTAAATATGGTTTAGTTTTTTCTAAATATGGTCACCAAAATTATAAAGGCGACCAAATGGAATCAGCTGTTTTCGCTACCGCTCTAATTCTGTTTAAGTAGGCGAAATAGCTGGGCGAACGGTGAACGACAGCATCGCCCAATTCGGCGAAGTTTGCCGTTCGCCGGTATTGTATTTCAAGCATAATAGGTAAAAATTACAATTGATAACAGAGATTTAAAGATATCAGCAAAAATATGCTTTGGCGTGGCGTGGCGTTTGACGTTACAAAAACAAAAGTGGGTTTTGACTTGGGTTAGAAAATTGCAAAAAAATTTGTCTGGTATTATTTGAGATATTTAGTTTTTGAATGTAAAAATTTTCCTGTTTTTTTTTTTATCAGCCGAATGTCAAAAAATAATGAATGAAAAATGAGGTGAATTATCTGACGTGACGTTACATGATGTTACGCTACTAAAATTTCAATTGAAAATTGGCTGGTTAATATTCTCTTAAATGAATTTTTAACGCAAATGAAACATGAACTCTATGTCGAATATATTTTTATTTTGACTTCAGCGCCACCTAGCGGAGCATAAATACGGTTTTGCAGAATATCTCGATCTAGCGAGACAATTTTTCTCAAAAACGTTTCTGTTTCTATGTTATAAAAAGCAGCCAATTGGAACATAAATAACTCAGATTTTTGGCTTATATTTTTTTGCGGTAGACCTACCGCTAGAAATGCCCATTATGTAGAATATTGGCATGAAACTGTAATTTTGATTTTTATCAGTGCCTGAAATGTAAAAAAATCAGAGCTTATCGAATATCTTTTGCGCACAAAATATCCAAAACAACTTTGCCTTTATTCCTCTCTTAAAAAATAAAAAGCCGAAATAATCAGCATCTTTTTTAAAAAAAGAAATAAAAGTTAGCTAAATGTTTAAATTTTTATTATAAAATGCATACTTTTGGTACGGTAATTGCTAGAAATACCTCCAAGCGATTCTGGGATAAATAACGATCTCTCCCAGAATAATTGACTGATTTAACTATGATACAGTGTTTACTTTTGTATATGTATGTTTTATGTGATTTTATTAAACAAAATTATATTAAGTTGCTTTTGTTTTGTATGCTCATTTTCAGTTTATTATTTATTATTATTATTATTTTATCTTTTTACATTTAAGGCCGCTTGTAAAGAAGATAAAATTCCAGTTTATGTCGACGCAAGTCAATCGGAAAAATACAAGAAAGTATGTTATAATTTCTTATTTTGTGTTTTACTTAATAATAATTTATTGCAAATACTTATGATTTACTATTTATTCAATTACTGTCTAATTTATAATTCAATCACATTTGAACTTAGTTACATACATAAATTAAATTCTTATCCATTGTCCTTTTTTTAATACATACAACCTTGTACCCAATCTTTAGTCACGTCGAAGTAGGCGCCATGCGAACGAATTGTGGAAAGGTATTGATCAGTCGTTATTTTTGGGACCTTCCGGTAGTGTTGTATGGGCCAATGTGTTAATTGGACGTGTTCTCTATAGCTGCCTGCATGATAATATGGTGAAAGATAAGATCAAAGAATTACTGCAGAAAAAAATTAGCGCTATTAAGGTGAGAACCACATCAATAAATTTCCCAAATTTGACTTATTGGCTATTGAAACTTTTCTTATAAGGTTCTCTATCTTTTGAGATAAATTATTTCTTATGCCGAATTTCCACTAAGCATTGAAATGGCAAAAAATTTCAGCCATTTAAAAAAATGCCTTGTGGAAATGAAATTAATGACTACTTTTTCCACATAATAACACGATAATTTTTGAATGCCCAACTTTGTCATTTGACATTTTTGCCATTTAATGCCCAGTGGAAATCCAGCATTACACAATACCAAATTTATGTATGCTCACATTTTTCAAAACTCAATTTTTATGCTTTCACTCGAATCGTCCACAGTTGCCTTCTTTCATAGAAGATATCGTTATTACGAAAATAAATCTTGGCGATACACCGCCACTAATACATCGTGTCTCGCAACCCATGCTGGATGAGCGCGGCACTTGGGTAGATGCCGACATCACCTATGAAGGATTGCTACAGTTGACGGTCACCACCAAATTGAATTTGATGCGCATAAAACAGCAGAAGCGTCCCACAGACGTAGTCAACATAACCACCACCAATCCATTGCATACCGGTGGCAACACCAGTGCCTCAAATGGTGGTGGTGGTGGTGGTGGTGGTGGGGCCGCTGGCATTAATATCACCGCAATACCACCCATTAATGTGATTTCTGATGGAGAGACTGGAAGAAGCTTAACTACTAGACTAACCTCGGCTGAGCCCAACACCGATGATGTGTTGCATAGTGTTATATTTGACAGCGATGCTGAGAGTACGGGTGATTCTGATTCCGATCCAGAGAGTGTCAGCGCATCAGCGGCAACCACGCTACCGAACGTGAGTTCGGCAACGACAGCGACTGGCGCTGCTACACAGGCGGACGCTGGTGCAGGCGCGCAAGCAGAGTATGTTGCTATGAAATTTAGAAGAATATTTAATTAACGTTTATTTTTATGTTGTTGAATTTCTTTTCAGCTACCATTTTATACCCACAGCGCCAGGAAATGCGCGTCGCATTTTTCGTATTGTAGATCGCATAGCAGCCTCAAATTTCTTTCAGTATGCCACCGATTTGCCAGTTGTACAGCGTGCCATTGAGAATATGAATACAAATATAACGCTACGCGTAGATCTGAGAGGACTAGTCGGACGTGGCGTGATAAACATTCCACCACCACCTTCCGATCGTATATGGCTTTCGTAAGTACTTAAATTTAATTTTAAAAATTTTGTGCTAGGGTTGTTTAAAAAATTGCATTATGATTTAATCAAAATTTATTTGAAAAAAAAGCTCCTTACCTCAAATATTTATTTATTCCTGTTCTTTTCTATTCACCCACAGCTTTCGTGGTCCACCACGCCTTTGGCTATCAGCAAAGCCAGCGCTTGGTGAAAAATCGGTGGATTACAGCATTGTGACCAGCATTATTGAAAGCAAATTATGCGAGGTGGTGAATAAGTTTTTAGTTTATCCTAATATGGTCGACGTCACTATACCTTTTTTGGGTCAGCCGACATACGAGTATTTGCGTGGCGAGAAAGCGAAACGCACTGAATAGATTTTTAATAGATAAGTTGTACATGAAAAATTCCGTAAAAAATGTGTATGCTAATTTTTGATAAAATTTTGTTGATTGATAAAATGTCTAAGTCTCATGGGAATGTATGTATGTTTACATACATCACTATTCGTTCCAATATACCATTCCAGTAGTTGTATTTACTGTAAGCAGTTATTATATAAGTATTATACTATTTAGTTTAATGATCAATATATGTTTAAGATTTATTTTTCCATTTTTTACATTTGGTGAACTGTAGTTAGTAATACAAACAATTCTTAATTAATGTTTTGATAATTTTAGTTCGTGAATTCATTAGAAAGTATACAATTGATATATCAACATTTTCGTAACTGCACTTTTTTATGGTTGGTTAAAAAAAAGCTGTTAATTGTTTCATTCTCAACGGGAAGTATTAGTTTCTAAAGCCGTAATCTCTTTCTTAAAAACTACTCGCGACTCATTCGCTTCGCGGTTTTACACAACTATACACAAGTCGAAAATTTCCAGACAAAATTTTGATAATTCGTAGTGTGCAGCTCTTTAGAGGCAGAAAACCAGCAAAATGCTTACAATAGTCAGTTAAAGACCGCCCATAGATATTTTCCTTGACTTATGACATTCGGTCACCCTAATACATAAAAAGCTAGAAATCATAGAAAAATGTCAATAAATATTCAAATAAAAATTTATATTTAATTGCAAGCAATTAATATCATTATTCTATAGCGAAGTTACAAAATCGGGCGGAGAATAAATTTTCGTAATATCTCATATTTAGGATTACGTATGCATTTACAAAAAACCAACATACAAATCGAGTATTATCAAAATTTCACAACTGTGGTGACGGTGATGGTGTACCGTTCGTTACAATTTTTCATATTATTATTTTTTTTTTGTTAAAAAAAAGGCATAATTTGAGGGAAATCTTAGCAAGCTTGGTCAAAGTTTTTATGAAAAACTTTAGAGTGACGCATTTTTTTATTCCATGGTCAAATGATTTTGACGAAGCACAAAAAAGGTATACATATGCACATATATACAAATTTCAAACTTTTTAATTGGAATGTTAGCGGCGTTCCTGATTTTCTCTCATACAAAAAAAGATCTCACTTACTTTGTCAGCGAAAAAAATTCTCAAAAATCAACCATGTGTTCGAGGTAATTCAAAGTTGCACATATTAAACTAAAATTGAATGGGAATGCAGTTTTATAGCATCTCCGAATTTTACTTGAAGCTCCAATTACAAACTTTGAAATTTTGATGACCATTTTTTGAACTTCGTCGAATTATTAAAAATCTTGTACAAAGTTTAAAACTTTGAGTTGTATGATTTTCGTGGTAGCAAGCACTATAATTTCCTAAAAAAATTTAACTAATAAATAAAAATAGATGGTCAAAACTTGTAAAAGAAAATCATTTCTAAATATCGGGCCACCAGTGGACATATGGTTTGGTTATTGCTATTTTAATCAACTTCAATAAAATGAGGAGGCTATCAATTCGTCGGAATATTTTTTTATGTATGTTGCCGCATAACTCTGCACCACGTTAACCTATTTCTATAATTCTTTTTTTTTTAGAGGAATTTGGTTTAGATGCGATCACTTCTTCTTACTTCTTTTGATCAAATTTTATAAGTGCAAAATGTATTGAGGATAGAAGACGAAAAAAATTTTGCTTTAAAATATATAAAAAAAAAATTTACTTTGTTTTTAGTACTTAGAAGTGAATATTATCAAGAGGAATGGAAGTTAATATTACAAAAGTGAACGAGATTGAACAAAACATAAAGCGCAACAATTTATATATCTACATACTTATACATATGTATAATTTTTGAATTTTTTTTTTTACAATGGAACTTATTTAATTTAGAAAATATTTTAATTCCATAACTAAGGCTTACTTTATACACTGTTCCCCACAATACATACATACATACATACGTATTATAAACTTACACAAATATGTACATACATACTTACAAATGTATATAAAAACAATTTGGAAAATAAATTCACATTAGTGCAGTTGAAATTACAGTTTTGATTCTATCAAGGTAGATATCGTCGTTTGAAGTACAAAACTGTGTATCCGAGGTTAGCCAAATTTTACCGTAGAAAGTCAAAACTGTCTATTTCAGAATGGTTCGCTCTTTTTTAAAGCAATGCCATTTCAGGATAGTTTTATAAATCGATATTTTGGTACGAATGGATAAGGCTTGATGCCAATTTCTGGACCAAATGTCAATTACGCGGTTTTGCAGAACGACGATACGCGCTTTTGTTCTTTAAACAACGATATGTACATGCATATTTATGTACAAAACTGAACTATTTCAAGAAAATATATATGTACTTATGTACAGTTCTATGTATGTTTTTCTATGACATAGATTAATATTATAATGTCTACATAGTATTAGTGTTGTTCTCTTTTATTAATGATGGCTCATTACACGTTATAGTACTATCTCTTGCTCCGTCTCTTTTGTCCGATCTAAATATTTAGAATAAAAAATCTTTTAACTACTTTATCCCTTTATAAAGAAACTAAAATACAGTTTAAGCATTTGAAATATCCCAGCAAACACAGTTTCAAACGTTTGAGAAAAATGTATTTCTCAATTTGATATCAAATGTCTTTCTCAAATGATTCTCAAATTGAAAACGAGGTTTAAATTTTACATTTGAAATTCATTTGAGGTTGATTTGAAGAAAGATGGCAAGTGTCAAACGATATAAAAATGCGCAGTTAAAACAAAAATTTTAAGAATAAAATTAAGATCAATTGGAAAAAACAATGAATAGAAAAAATTTTTTAAAGAGCAAGTCCACAAATAGTGTGTATGTACATCGCGAAGAAAAAATAAATATGAAATATACATGTCCTATAATAAATTTTATTTCCACATTTGAAGTACAATTTATAAATAACCTTTGAAATTGATTTGAGAGTTAACCATATTCTCAAAAGGAGATCAAACCCCCCTTTCTATTGGGAAAGCTGTAATTTTCAAATCAATATCAAATCATTTTCAAACGTTTGACATTTGAGAAAGGCTTTGATTTCAAATCATTCTCAAATGTATATCAAACCTAATTGTTTGCTGGGATGTAATTAATTGACAGATATCTTCACACACATACATATGTACATACATTTCCACATATTTAATAACATATCGCCGCTGTTAATGCAAAATGCCATAAATGAAAAAATTTTAAATGATAAAACTAAAATGCGTTTTCAAGTTAATGCTGTCCTAAAGATGCAATTAAATTTTGTATTTTTAAGATATTGCTTTAAATTTCAGTACGTGATGCTTCCAAGGCTACACGTACATGCATATGTTATTAAATATGTTTGCCACCGAACACATTCCTTGCGTAAGGATTTACGTATAAAATGTACTCCCATATAATATTTACAAGTAATTATTGAAATTTTAATACGGAAATCCCCTTAAAATTATTGCATTGTTTAAATATTTTATACTTTTACTTATGTAGACATTTAAAAAGAAAAGAACTTACACGTACACTTTTTCTGTGAGCTATTACAAACAATTTATTTAGATACATACAAAAATACATGTGTACAATGAAAGAACAAAATTTCGATTAATTTTGGCTGTATAAGCAAACTGTGTTTAATTATAAGTAAGTACATACTAGATAAGTACCAACTTATAACATTAATGTCCTTTTATTTTGGGTTTTAAATAAAATTTCTGGAGTAAACAAATAACTCTAAACGTTTTCATAAAAATTTTGGATACGTGTGAGTATGTCATAAATTATTAAAATAATAAATATTATTTTTACGTACATACATATAGTCTAAGATCCGACAAGGGCACTACCTTCAGCCATCTGTCTAATGGATGAAATCTATTTTGTATGAAATTTAACATGTTAATAAATGTTTCCCGACTGGGTTGGCTGAAAAAATCCTGGCCAGCGCACTTGTGAACAAGGGTATATTAACTTTGTTCACATAACGAATAGAGAAGTCGATTAAACCTTGTCTGTCTGTTTGTCCGTCTGTCCGTCCATCCGTGTGCACGATAACCCGAGCAAAAATTGAGATATCTCAACGAAATTTGGTATGTAGGTTTCCCTTTATCCAAGGTATTGAAAATGGGCGAAATCGGACTGTCACCACGCCCACTTCCCATATAACGGCATTTTCAAAAAATGCAAAACCTTCGATATTTGACTAAATATTAACTCCAAATTGTTGAAAATTAGTACGTGAAGTAGAATTTTTTTCAAAATAATATTACTTGAAATTTTTGGAAAATGGGCGTGGCTCCGCCCACTTACGATGAAATGCTGTATCTCAGTGGCCCCTTCATCAATCCCTACCAAACCTATAGCAAGCGAACTTCAGTTGTGTTGCTAGTTGCCGAAACGATATTACAGATGGCAACTGGCAACTTTCCACTGACAAGTGCCGTTGTTACAAAGTGTGTATACAGGCAACTATATTTACATATGTGGTTGCTGGGAAGGTTTTTGGAGCGTATTTAGGAGCGAAAATTGAAAAGTACGTCATATATTTTCCTTTTTAATAATTTGAACGATATTAACATTTTGCAATGCAGTTTGCTTCTACAGAATATGGTGAAAATAACAAATAACTTTATGAACTGAAGCACCTCTTTTAAAACTACCGATACACCAAGTTTTCCAATTTGAAGTCATTGCTGTGGCACTTTCTTCTGCGAAAAATCGAAGAGGCGCGCAAGCTTTTAGGAGTGGAGGCATTGAAGTTGAAGGAAGTGGTTCATCTGTTTATTAACCAATTATACTACAGCTTCTTTTGGAAGTCCTGAATATGCTTTGAAAGTGAACACAAAACGATAATAAAAGAAAAACCTTGAAAGCATTAACTTTCGCTTATAGTGCACGCGGTAGCTCTAGAGGATTGGAATTATCCTTTAAATGCCGTCTGATTGAGGCCGCGTTCATGCACTTCTCTTCCTCTTAAACAAATAAATGTGCTGAACTTATCTTTATTGCTGACTTTTCTTTAAAACTATTTTAATAATTTAATTTTACTCGCACAGCTTGTTTACAGCCACTTGCTGGCTGCCGAATTGTCAAATTATCGATAACTTTACAGCAACTGACGATAGTTGCCATTCGTAATACAAATTTTCTTTCCAGTTGCGTTGCCAGCAGGCAACCGAACCGTGGTTGCGTTGCTATTCGTAATCGACTTATTAATTTGCAAAAGCGTTTGCTTAGTAAATAAATTCAAAATTTGTATGGCTCACTTCATTTAAAACGTTTTTCTTTTGTTTTGAAAAATTATAGAAATTAAATTGAGCGAAAATAAAAAGCAACGTCAAATAAAAGTAATAGGCGATATACACGGTGCGTCTGGCTCGCGAGTCATTTGTGTACGTGTGGACTCGCCTTCGACTACATACAGTTGACTCATTCAGAGGGGGCACCGAAATTGCGTAAATGGAAACTGTGCATTTAGACATTATTTCGGTTTCAACCGAAACTGTGTATGTATGCATACCTTCGTCTTTCACATATGCATTATTTCGGTTTTCATCCGAAACTGTGCATGTATGTTTTTTTTCGGTTTTGCCATATGCATTATTTCGGTTTTTGTTATATGCATTATTTCGGTTTTCTAACGAAAGTGTGCATATGGATAATTTCGCTTTTCTAATATGAACTATTTACTTCTACTTAGTAAGAGTTTTAATACCTAAACGCGGCTGAAAGCCGCCTACGCAGAGAAAAGTTCTGGGCAAAAATACTTCCGTCCTTCTTTTCCGGCAATACAGAAAGGAGAATTCTACTTAGTAAGGGTTATAATCCCTAAGCGCGGCCGAGGGCGCCTACGCTGAGAGAAGTTCTGCGCAAAAATACTTCCGCCCTTCTTTTCCGGCAACACAGAAAGGAGAATTCTACTTAGAAAGGGTTATAATCCCTAAGCGCGGCCGAAGGCCGCCTACGCAGAGAGAAGTTCTGCGCAAAAATACTTCCGCCCTTCTTTTCCGGCAACACAGAAAGGAGAATTCTACTTAGAAAGGGTTATAATCCCTAAGCGCGGCCGAAGGCCGCCTACGCAGAAAGAAGTTCTGCGCAAAAATACTTCCGGTCCCCTTTTCCGTCAACACAGAAAGGAGAATTCTACTTAGTAAGGGTTATAATCCCTAAGCGCGGCCGCAGGCCGCCTACTCAGAAAGAACTTCGTTTTCATGTATGCACTATTTCGGTTTTTGTCATATGCATTACTTCGGTTTTGAGTCGAAACTGTGCATGTATGCATTGCTTCGGTTTTTTTCATATGCATTATTTCGTATGCACAGTTTCCATATGCACAATTTCAGGGTGCCATTCAGAGTCATGACGGGAGTCATGTTGGTGTAACTAACACAAATTTATTTTCACAGACACATCCAAGCCGACACACGAGTCAGACGCACTGTTTATGCCGCCTATAAAAGAATCTACATTGAACTGCGTCACGATGAACATAAGGGAGCACGAATTTCGATGTGAAGTAAAACTCTCTGGGAAGACAATGCAATGGGATTGGGATTTAGATAAAGAAAACGGTTAGGTCTAAAGTTAAGATTGAGGCTAAGGTTAACGGTAAGGTTATGGTTAGGATTAACGTTAAAGTAAACGTTGGGGTTAAGGTTAAGGTTAAGGTTAACAATTAATATTTTTTTTTAGAGTTTTACTCATACTTACTTGAAAAATGAAATATTACTCGCTGACCTACAAGTGACCTTGAACATTTGGTTTAAATTTTTTTAAATAATTTGGCTTGAAATACAAAACAGTAAATTTCAAGTGATATTTTATTTTGACCACAGGATTTGGTTTCAGACCACTGAACGCCATACTTCAATAGCTCAGGTCCAGTAGCTTTGTTGTTTTTCGGTTCGATGCCGATTCCGTCGGGTTCACCTCCTCCGCTTGTTTGAGTGCTGCTATGGTAGCACTAATAATCCATGTGTAAGTAAGTATGTTCTGGACAGGTCAATGTCGGCGTGTTTATTCGCCCTGTTCTTGAAATCTGCCGTAGCCTAACTTCCCCCTACATTTTCGGGCGTTTTGATCGGAGATATAGACCATATCTCTCCTACACTCTTCCACTAGTTGAGATCTATCAGAGGTAGAAGATTCGCGGGTAGAGATTTCGCTATAAATTTAAATACTATATGCATTTATTGTAAAATATACTAAGACGTGCGCAAGAAATATGCAAAAACATGCACTAACGTTTGAATGCCATTTTAAAAATAATTTCATGATTCGTAAAGATAACTTAATAGTTTCCATTTAAGGATGTCCAATAAAAACATGCATTTGCATGAGATTCCGAGCCCTAGTCATTCAGTATGCATGTCGCGCCTCCCACAATTGCAACGTCCTCGGTAATCATCGCTGTTATTTTTACTTACGATGTTGTACATACATACATATGTACATATGCAACTCACATTGTGCCCTGTAGTACCGAGAATAGCGAATATGAAGCGCGCATTATTCCGACAAAAGCCTCCAAAGTCAATGGTTTTAAGCCACCAGCTGTAAGCTAGAAATTAGAGAAACTTTTGTAGATACATAATGTAAATATGAAAGATTATGTTAAATTACTACCTGCAAGGGCCTTTGACTTCTGGCTATTATCAGCACAATGCATTTGCGAAACTCTGTGCTGCGTTGCATCCAATTGGTATTATATGCTGCGTTGGCTATATTTAAACTCTTTAAATGCCAATTTGTTGTGTAGAGAATGATTTTGAAATTTAAAAATTTTTGCAAAGATAAGCATTTTAAAAGTATTTCCATTTACCTCGTTCGAGAAAGCGTTACTAAAGTGAAAGGTTAGGTACATCAACGATGTTTGAACGAGCAACAATTGTAGACCTTTAAAAACGAGTGCACCATCATAGTCCTAAAAAAATGCAGGTGGAGATATCAAGAAGCGAGAGAAAGTTTTAATTTTTCTACATACTTTGTTACATTCCATTAAGTAAGTAAATAAAAGTTAAGACTATACAATTTGATATATACACTCACCCACAGCAGTCTAGGCACATCATTTTTCATAATGTATGCAAATTTTTTATAACAATTTTTTTCGGTAATTTTGTTATAAAAATAACTACAGCAAAAAACACATACATTTAATTTCTAAACTTTTTTCAAAGCTCAGAAAAATTCAATAAATATTTACACAAAATTTTCAATTGTGTAATCAGATTTTTTAGGAAAATTTTGTTTATGCAGTTTTATAGTATATTAAATTTAAGTATAATAAAAAAAATATTGCGACGAACTGATAGTTTCCTCCTTTTTGGAAGCCGGTTAATAAAGTGCAAGTTTCAAGTTGCTAAAAAATCCCGTTGTTTATTTTTTTGTCGACAGTGTCACGCAGTTTCTTCCACACAAAGCACTTATGTTTATATCAAAGAAAGTGAAATTATCAATTACCATCCGGATTTTTTAGCAACTCCAAACATGCACTTTATCATACCAACATTTACCGGCACATTTTTTCTAAAAAATCTTATTAGAAAGCCGAAAATGTTCATGCAAATTGGTTCGATTATTCTGAGATTTACACTTATAGATTCTATTTTTAGGTTTTTTTTTGTTGTATGTACAAACTATATTTGTATAAAAAATTTTCGAAAAAAATTAAAATAAAAAACTTTGCATATATTGTCTAAAATGCTCTGTGCCTAGACTTTTGTGGTTCACTGTATATTTTACAGTTTGTGCAGTAGGGACAAAATTTATTTATTTTTTTTTGCTGGTAGCGACGAGGGAGAGCGGTTCACATGTGCAATAAAAAACAGCCCGCAATAACCCAGGGCCTCAGCATAAATCCATAAAAAGCTGTTCTTGTGCCGTTCATAAGAACATCTGTATAGACGGAACATTGATCGAAGTCACAGAGCTTAAATATTTCGTCGAGGACTAAAATCTGAGATAGAAAAACCTCCTAATCCAGTCGAATCAAAGCCAAATTTACAATCGGAGCTTGAGCCCGATTACCACAAAAATGTCAACAAAATTCAAAAGATCAATGAAGACTTGTTTCTATAGAAACAAATTAATTTTTTGTTTATACTTACAGTGACTCACACTTAAAATTTTAATTTATTGCCCAAGCTTTAGCCAAAATATGTATTTAGAAAAATTTGTTAAATTTTTATCAAAATTTCGATCTTGTTAATCCGAATCTTTAAACATTTTTGTGTATGCAGTTTTATAGCCCATACAGTTTTAGTTCCATCGTTATGTTATGTTTTTTTCCTGGGGATTTTTGCGCTTTCTTCCATATAAGCACGAATTTCTTATGAAATGAAATGCGGGTGACCGTTCGCAACAAAGTTTCAAAAAATCAACACCAGTTTTTTTTTAACTGCTCTGGTTCTATAAAAACACCAAAAAAATTGCCACCAAAAAAAAAAAAATTATTAAAAATCAACAAAATTTTTTAGCCGCTTGAAACTTGCACTTCATGCATGGACTATAAAACTGCATACACAAAAATTTTGTAAAGATTTAAATTAAAAACCTCGTAGTTTTGATGAAGGATGATGGAGGATGGTTCCGTGCGCAGAAGTGGAAAACTTTTGACTGCCATTCACCTGGGAGTGGCCAGAAGCGATTCTTGTGCGTACGGTTCAAATCGCAGCTCACAACGTCCGGATATTTATATCCACGTATCCTCTGGGTAGCAACCAAACACCCGTTTGGGAGCGAGCTAAAGTGAGAAGGCGTAAAACTTCGCGTGCGCTGGGTTTGGGTCCCGCCACGTTAAAACCCCGCCCAATGAAAAGAAGCAAACAGTCTCGGATGAGACCCCCTTTTTCTGATGACGACCACGGCAAACGTATAAAGGACTATGATTTAAGGGTATGCACCTGGAATATCCGGACCTTTAATGGGGAAGGTGCCTCTGCCCGGCTGGTTGATGTCCTCGGGAAGACAAAGGCTGACATCACCGCCATCCAAGAAATGCGATGGACGGGGCAAGGTAAAGTAAGCGTGAAGCCTTGCGACGTCTACTACAGTTGCCACGTAAAGGAGCGCAAATTCGGTGTTGGATTCGTGGTAGGAGAGAGACTCCGTCGCCGAGTACTGGCGTTCACCCCGGTGGACGAACGTCTAGCCACAATCCGCATCAAAGCTAGATTCTTCAACATCTCGCTCATCTGCGCCCATGCCCCGACGGAAGAGAAGGATGAGGCGTCCAAGGATCTCTTCTATGAGCGCTTGGAACGTACATATGAGCGCTGCCCCCGACACGATGTCAAAATCGTGCTTGGCGATTTTAATGCCAAGATGGGCAAGGAAGGGATCTTTGGCGCCACTGTCGGAAAATTCAGCCTCCACGACGAAACGTCCGATAACGGACTGAGGCTGATCGACTTCGCCGGGGCCCGAAATATGGTAATATGTAGTACTAGGTTCCAGCATAAGAACATCCACCAAGCTACATGGCTGTCTCCAGATCGAAAAACGAGAAACCAAATCGATCATGTTGTGATAGACGGAAGGCATGCTTCAAGCGTTTTGGACGTACGTACACTCCGAGGGCCAAACATCGACTCGGACCACTATCTTGTTGTAGCCAAGATACGCACCCGCCTCTGTGCAGCAAAAAATGTGCGCCCAACAATGCAAGGAAAGCTTAACGTCGAAAAGCTGCAATCACAACAGACGGCCAATTTATTCGCCACTCGACTCACACACCTGCTCTCTGAGAGCACTCTTCAACAATCCGACGTACGCGAGCAGTGGAACCACATTTCCCGATCATTAAGTACCGCCGCCGAAGAAGTAGTTGGATTTCAGCGAGCCCGAAAGAACAACTGGTACGATGAGGAATGTCAAGAAGCCGCAGAGAAAAAAGATGCCGCCTACAGGGCCACGCTGCGATCGGGCGCAACGCGAGCCATGTGGGACCGTTATAGGGAACTGAAGAAGGAAGCGAGACGTATTTGCCGCAATAAGAAGAGAGAGGCCGAAATACGTGAGTGCGAAGAGCTTGAGATGCTGGCCGACAGGAAGAACGCCCGAAAATTCTACCAGAGGGTTAGGCGACTTACGGAAGGTTTCAAGACCGGGGCGAACTCCTGTAAGAACAACAATGGCGACCTAGTGACCGATGTCCAGAATATACTTAAATTGTGGAGGGAACACTTTTATAACCTACTGAATGGTAGCAGCGCTGAAAGTAGTGAGGAAGACGAACCCGAGTCCCCAGTCGATGATGATGGAGTAGCTGTCCCACCGCCTGACTATGACGAGGTACGAATAGCGATTACGCGGCTGAAAAACAACAAAGCTGCTGGAGCTGACGGCCTGCCAGCCGAGCTATTCAAGTACGGCGGCGAGGAGCTGATGAGGTGCATGCATCAGCTCGTATGCAGAATATGGTCAGATGAACGCATGCCCGACGACTGGAATTTAAGTGTGCTCTGCCCAATCCACAAGAAAGGCGACCCCGCCATACGCGCCAACTACCGCGGAATTAGCCTTCTAAGCATAGGTTACAAGGTCTTATCGAGCGTATTGTGCGAAAGACTGAAGCCCACCGTCAACGAGCTGATTGGACCTTATCAGTGTGGCTTTAGGCCTGGAAAATCCACCATAGATCAGGTATTCACAATACGCCAAATCTTGGAAAAGACCCGCGAGAATAGGATCGACACACACCATCTATTTGTCGATTTCAAAGCCGCTTTCGACAGCACGAAGAGAAGTTGCCTTTATGCCGCGATGTCTGAATTTGGTATCCCCGCGAAACTAATACGGCTGTGTAAAATGACGTTGAGCAATACCACCAGCTCCGTCAGAATAGGGAAGGACCTCTCCGAGCCGTTTGATACCAAACGAGGTTTCAGGCAAGGGGACCCCCTTTCGTGTGATTTCTTTAATCTTATGTTGGAGAAGATAATAAGAGCCGCAGAACTGAACCGCTCAGGCACAATACTTTATAAGAGCGTACAATTGCTGGCGTATGCCGACGACATCGATATTATCGGTAAAAACAAGGGCTACGTCTGTTCTGCCTTCTCGGGATTGGATAGAGAAGCAAAGCGAATGGGTCTGGTGGTGAACGAGGACAAAACGAAGTATCTCCTGTCAGCACACAAACAGTCAGAGCATACGCGTCTTGGCACCCACGTCACTGTTGACAGTTACAAGTTTGAAAAAGTGGACGACTTCGTTTATTTGGGAACCAGCATTAACACCAATAATAATGTCAGCCTTGAAATCCAACGGAGAATCACTCTTGCCAACAAGTGCTACTTTGGGCTGAGTAGGCAATTGAGAAGTAAAGTCCTCTCTCGTCGTACAAAGATCACACTCTATAAGTCACTCATCATGCCTGTGCTGGTGTATGGCGCGGAAGCATGGACAATGAAAGCATCTGATGAGGCGGCTCTTGGAGTTTTCGAGAGAAAGATTCTGCGAAAGATTTACGGACCTTTACGCGTTGGTGATGGCGAATATCGCAGACGATTTAACGATGAGCTGTATGAGCTTTACAACGATATAGACATAGTGCAGCGAATTAAAATTCAGCGGCTCCGCTGGCTTGGCCATGTCGTTCGGATGGACAGAAACGCTCCTGCTCTGAAAATATTCAACGCGGGCCGCGATGCTGGGAACAGAGGAAGAGGAAGGCCTCCTCTGCGTTGGAAAGACCAGGTGGAGAAGGACTTGGCTTCACTTGGCATTTTCAATTGGCGTCAGTTAGCACAGAAGAGAAATGACTGGCGTGCTGTTTTGGACTCGGCCAAAATCGCTTAGGCGGTTACAGCGCCAAATAAGAAGAAGAAGAAGTTTTGATGAAAATTTTATGAATTTTCCTAAATTTTGTATAAAGTTTGTAGCTCTGTTTTATATGGTTTCGGCTAAGGCTTAGAAAAAAATGTTTATAAAAAAATTAACTTGAAAAACGTTGTGAATTAGGGCTGTGCGATTAATTGATTACTCAAAATTTTAATTAATCATAAAGTAAATAACTCAATTATTCGATTAATTGGAAATTATGATTACTCAAAAGTTCAGTTACTCGAGTAATCAAGATTTTTGATTAACCAAAAACAAAAATATTTGAGTAATTTGCTTTATGATTAATCAACATTTCGAGTAAAATGAGTAATCAACATTTCAACTCTTTACATATGCATAAAGTAGTTAAAGTTCCTTGATACTTTGAAAACAACGTTTCTGTTTTCAAAAATTAAAACAAAAATTTTTTTTTCATATACAGAATGTAAAAAAGAAAATAAGCATTTTCCAAAGCAAACTCTTTTAACGAGCAAAATTATTTTTTTTGAGTAATCATATTTCAAGTAACTCGATTAACTATCGTTTTGAGTAATCAAAATCTTGATTACTCGAGTAATTGATTAACCGAATAATTGATTAACCAACTTGCTCGAGTAATCGAATAATCGCACAGCCCTATTGTGAATATTAAAAAAAAATATCAATCCGTGAACAGTTTCGTGAGTCACGTACATACAATAATTTACAAATTGATTTTCATTTTATCCCGCGAAGCTTAAAAGATTGCCTGCCATTGTTTTTACTAATTTCACTATTACAATGCAACGTTTTAAGTTCCAATAACACATATTTGATATAAGCCTTAAGCAAATACTTCAAAGATGTTTGATTTTTAAAAGTTAAAGAAGCAAAAGGCCTTCTTCTCCTTATAGGACATAAGAGCCCTTCTGGAAGGCCCTCCATGGGCGAAAGAAGAAGCCCTTCAATTTGTGCCACTCCATACAAAATAGAAAGGAGAAAGGAATGTAGAGTGGACGGCCTCTTGACTCTCAGGAAAGCCTTTCGGAAGGAAAGCCTTTCCTGAAATTATCTACTCGGTTTCTGTACTAGTTTCTCTGGGTGTAGCGACATTTATCGGCCTTTTTGAGTATTCCTTTCACACATGGGGTAGAACCAAACAGAACCAAAGATGCGTAAAGACAAAGGCATAAATGAAGACCTAGGTAATTTTCAAAGGGAATATGTAGATGAAGAAAATGATAAAAGTAAAAATTAAGATAAATATAAAGAAATAGATGAGGTTGAGAATACCGATAAAAGTAGAGATGAAGATAGAGGAAGAAAGATTAAAATAAAGGTAGTTATGGAGAAAAGGATATACATAGATAAAAACACAGAGACTCAGTCTGGGAACCATTTTGGTATTTTAGAGATTTTCGGGATTCTCGGGACTTATCGATATAATAATCGATATTTGTATCGGTCTTGTTATCGATTTTGTGATCGATTATTTATGGATTTGGCTATCGATTATTTATCGACTTAGTTATCGATTATTGATCGATTTTGTTATTGACATATTTATTGATTTTGTTATCGATATTTTTATCGTTTTCGCTATCGTTGTTTTGATCGATACCTTTATCGATCGATTTTGCTACCAATGTTATAGATTTTGCTATCGAAATTTCTATAGAATTTGGCATCGATTTTGATATCGATATTTTATCGATTATATTATCGGTATTTTGTCGATTTTTTATCGATTATTTATCGATTTTGTTATTGATAGAAAACAGACAAAAAATATAATCTTCAGCAAAAGCAGATGTATGTATGTATGTACATATGTTTGTATATTGGTGATGAGACAAAATAGATATGTAACGTTAGTTTCACTTCTCCAGTGTGGCCCAAGCGCACTTACTTTTTTGTAATTATAGCGTCCCTACAGTGTTATAGCCTTATTCATTAAAAATAAAGCAGCTTGGCAAAAGGTTTATAATTTGAAAAATGTATGAAAACGTCAATTTATAAAGCTTTTCAAACCTACTTTTTTTTTAAGGAATAAGGCCATTATTATTTATTTTTGTTTTTCTCACCATAGATGAATATACAAGCATCGTTGCTAGTACTATGCAGTATAACATAACATCAATCAAGGACATGGCCGAATAGAGCTCTTCCAAGTCATCACGAAACCTTAAAGAAGCAAATTATATTAAGTTTATTAGGACGGGTCAATTAAAAAAAAATAAAAATCAAAAACAAAGTTTAAAAGTTGCATATAATTCCTTTTAAATTAGTTGTTTTTAAGATGATGACTTTTTTTTTAGCTCCTGACTCATATTTTGGGCAATACATATATATACATATGTATATCTTAAAGTTGAGTAAAATCTTAAATTGACTTAAAACAGTTGCATGTGTAATATCCGGAGCACTAAAATATCATAAACAAGGATATTCGCCACTACTCACATGATGATTTTTATATGACGTTTAATGCATTCCTTGATATTCCTTAAGGCATCTACATCATCCATTTCGGATAAATTTTCCAATTTCTGCTGAAGATCTTTCATCATGGAAGTACCAAACGACATGGAGATCAAAAATGAATTTACATACGCATTATATGAACAAACGCCTACTGGAATCATCCAAAGTGCCTGTAGCAGATAGCAAATTTCGTAAATGGGGCTCTTATGCAGATCGACCATTGGTAAAGCAATGTCATTAATGTAGTCTTTTAGATAAGAGATTGTGGTACATTATATTTTATTATTGCATGAATATGAAATGAATTTTTAAATGCTTAACTCACCGCCATAATTTGAGAGAATTGGTTGGACGCAAACGAAAGTTGAAATGATCACCAGATAACGCAAAGCGTACTTAGAGTAAAGGCGTACTTTTCTAGTAAATTCCTGCAGGTTTTCCACGGCCTGTTCATCATCGTCGTGCTGGCAAAATATTGTAAGTATATACATAAGTTGGATGGGAAAATAAAGTAAGCAAAAATATTTTTTAAGCATATGGGCAAATATCAAGAACTGGGCGATTAAACGCTGACTTTGAAAAATTTTAAATCGATTGCACATAGATAAATTATATATTAAAGAAATTGTTTGTAAAAAACGGTAATTTTCCAGAACTCAAACTTAGCGATATTTCTAGAGGGCGTAGTTTTTATCCGGTTTTAAAGACTTTGAAGGAGCTGCGATTTGAAAGCGTCCAAGAAGAGGAAGAAAACTAGCATACTATTAAATTCAAAGAAAAAAATATTGTATGTTAATTTAGAACTCCATAATACATAGTCAATAGCAACAAAAAAAACGATGTGCGCTTCGGGGACGGTTTTCGTTTTTACGGGAACTATTTTCGATTCTTTTAACAGGGTTTTAATTTCTTTGGATTCGGCTTTCTGAGAATATTTTCGGTTCTTCCGGAACCTTTTCTCGTTTTTTTTTCTTTGGAATCGCGTATCGGTGCTTCTGGAACCGTTTTTCGGGCCTTTTGGATTTTCGGTTTTTTTTTTCAAGAACGGCCCAACTTCACAATTTGGTTGAAGAAAACCCTATCTCAGAATTCGTTTCAAAAGTGCCCTATCTCAAATGAAGATACATTGAAAATATGCTGCGATAGGCTGTTTTTTAATTGGCAGCTAAGATACAGCGTTTTTGAACCGAATTCTGGGATGGGGCGTTTTTCAATCAAATTCTAGAATAGGGCGTCGTTGAAAAATTTTCTGAGATAGGGAGTTTTCGAACTGGCTGCCCCGAGATAGGTCGATGTTACACTCAACCATCGATATGTATCTGTTTTATATTTTCTCTAAAATAGGCGTTAGAAAAATCCAACTCACCTTCAGGTCATAGTACCAATCTTCAATCGTTTTACAGATATCCAAAAATTTTTTTTGTTTAGTTACGACGGCAATAGCACGCACTACTGTTATAGTCAACGTCAAGAGGAGAAAAGAATTGTAAATCGTCTGGCCTAAGTTGCCCCAATTATGGTAGATACCATAAGTTGATGGCAAAATCATTATAGCCGGTACGGAGATGAAAAAGAAAGCGCGCCGACGTTTGGTTTTATCTAAAAAGCCCATGTAGTTATAAATAGCATAATTCCAGTTAAACAGCTCAATAGCATAATCCATTTTGGTTTTTAAGTTTTTTTTTTTTAGTTTGACTATTCAGCAGCGTTCAACGTTTTGAAGCAAAAAAGAAACAAATATGCGTTGAAAAATGAAAAAAATGTCCCTTTTATAGGTCCTAGTAGTGTTTCAAAAATGCGTAATGTGCATAAGATCTCACATGAGTAATAATTTGCGGAATCGATTTAATTACTGTTCTTCTACTGTATTTAGATGTATCAGGTATAATAATTACATATCTTACTTAGATGTGTATGTATGTATGAATGTATGTATATACGTTTATGGTGTATAGTGTCTTACATATCGTCGCTCCATACGACGATGTAGCATATCTCAAATTACTAGCACGTTTCACTATTTGCTTCGAAGAAAGAGTAGCACATTTCAGATTGTAAAGCAACGAAAGCTTAACATGTCAGGACTTTGCAGGTTTAAAGTAAATCATAAAAACATAATTTATATTAAAAAATCAAGTGTTTATTTAATATTTCTGTAATTAAACTATAAAATTCAGACGTTATACATATACCGTTTAGTAATCATTTGCTTTAAAAAAATTGAAATCGCAGATCCATATTGGATGCACAGAATTCAGAAACCGGAACCGGAGATCGAGGTCCTTTAGAGAACCAACCGGTTTGGTTCTTACAAGAACCGAATAACGGGTCTAACGGAACTGAAGCTCGATTCCAAGAGACCCGAAAAACAGATGCAGAAAAAAATTAGAAACAAAATTCGAAAAATATGTTTTCTTCAGGTTTTTTTACGGGCTATCCGATGATGCTATGCGTTTTCAAAAATTTTCCTAATTTCATGAGGCAAATTCGAAACGAAAATTTCATTGTAATTTTCCCCAATCATGGTCATTTTTAATAACGTTACTAATCATCTCAATCGCCAGACCAGGTCTTTTGCTATAACTTTTGAACTATTGATGTTTGAATCTGAAACTTTCGCAAAAACTTCCCCAGATATTCGTCTGCGATACTGTACTAAAACAATATTTTTTTTCAAGCTTTATAAACAACTTTTACCTTTGAAAAAAAAAAACATAATCTCGATTCAGTTTGAAAACCTTTAGTTTTAAAAGCCGGAAAAACAAAAAAAGTCCCTTTTGAAGTGATTTTATTAATGATTTTTAAAGTAAAATACCTGATATTTTGATTGAGATAACTTAACACAATATTAAAAATTACCATCATTGAGAAAAATTATAATAAAATTTTCGTTTCAAATTTTTACTGTGAAAATGGAAAAATTTTGGACAACGCAAAGCACCATCGGATAGCCCGCACAAAATCTATAGAAATATAGTGTTTGAAGTTTTCTTACCATTTGATGTCTACTTCCCAGCTACTCGAAAAGTGTCTTGCTCTGCACCGATCAGCGCGCATGGGACATTTGAAGTGAATCGCCCCATATGTATGTATGTACGTATTTCGATAGAAGCTGATTTTTGAGAAACGGAACCGCTCCAAATTTCCGGTTATTCTTGAAACCTTACATCACTAGCATTGACAAACTTTTTCTAATTTAGATTTTGTCCAGACCAGGAATCACACCCAGGTACTACGGAGTGGTAGTACGCACTTCTAACCACTGACTAAAGCGGCCTTAATTATACTTTCACTCATTTTGCCAGCGGTGTTTTTCTAATAATAATAATAATAGATTGGCGCTTACACATGTGTTGGTGTTTGGCCGGGCTTCTCCTCCGATTTGTGGCGTGCGCCTTGATGTTGTCACACAAAGTGGAGGGACCTACAGTTTTACGCCGACTCCGAACTGCGATTGTATTTTTATGAGAAGTTGTTTTTGATGGCAGAAATACACTCGAAGGTTTGCCATTGCCTGCCGAGGGACGACCGCTGTTAAGAAAAACACTTTTTTCTAAATTATTTTGTGATGTTGCTTTGACCAGGGCTTGAACCCAGGCACTGCGGAGTGGAAGCCGCGTTTTTCTAAAATTCGCGATATTATTTTCAAAATTGAAATATTTTTCTATGAACGTTTTGTTAGGAAAATTTTGAGAAATTGCATTACAAAATATTTTAAAATCCTACAAGGACTATCCTTAGCTATTAGGTACCATATTAAGGATCAAAAACTAGCTTCTTGTGGATATATATTTGCATCTTATTATGCACATCTAGGAAAAAGTTTATAGACAAAATTTAAAAATTTCAAGCCATGACACTTGCTTTATTTTTTTTTGTGTGTTTCCAACGTCTAGAGTCACTCACGCATAGCCGCAAAGTCTGCCTATACAAGTTATACAATAGTAGAGCCTTCATTGGCAATACCTCAAAATTTGATTTTCTAGCTACTTTTTAAAATGCTATACACTTTTCACTTAATGTTTTTCCACTTTCACGGACGACATCACTGCCCATACAATTCTCGTATCTGATAGATTCGGATTTCAAAAGTAAAGTTTGGCGAGATCAGGTGAAATGAAACACGTACATATTTATATCTACGCGTATTCAGTTGTAAAAAATTTTAAAAGCAAACACTGGCTTATCCTGTTAATAAATTGGTAGACTTTACTGTAAGTTAATTAATTACTTTTATGTATGTACTTCCGCCTTTGGCGTCTGTCGTAAAATGCTTTGCTTCTAATTGTGATAGTAGATAAAAATTTATCATCGCGAAATATACGGTACACTTATCATACTCACCACCGCTTATCAACTAAATAATAAAAAGTTGAATTGTAGTTTTTTTTATTTATAATTATTGTTATTTATTCTTTACAATAATTCACTTTTTATACAACTTCAAGAAAGCTACGTGTAGATTTACAAAACTTAGTCTAAAAAGAAAGTACATAAGTATGTGTCTAGGTTCTAAGGTATGTATGTATGTACATATGCATGTATATTGGTTACACTTAAACATACAAACATACATATTCATATGTAGTTTTAACTTTCGTACATATGTAAGTATGTGTATTCAACTACATTTCCCACAAATGATATGAGTAATATACAAATGTATGTATGTGTGTATTTATATTTATATATAGTCTCTATAAAATATACAACATCCATAACAAATTTATAAGTAAATACCTTAAATTAAAATAAAAACTTCAAAAAACACCTACGAAAAATTTGTTTCACTTAAACAAATGCTAAAGTTGCATAATTGAACTATACACATTAACGTCTAGATACGAGTATGTACATATGGGCAATTCTTCAGAACCGGACGATTTAACGCTATGATTTTGAAATTTTTTAAATTGATCACACCAAAAATACATTGAATTGTTTAAAATCCATGTGGAACACTATAAATTCTTGCGTGACTCATTTATATTGAATGCTGAAATTTTTAAGCAAAAAAAAAAACAACCGACATCAATTCAATCAATTTAGAAGTGCCGTTAATTAGTGTGGGACCACCGCAAAAAAAAATTCAAACAATGGGTCTTATGAATAAAAAAAATTCTAGAAAATATTCTAAAAATGTTGCTGAAGCTAGCACGTACTACTTTACAACTGACTTCTTTCAAAGTTTTCTATTTGCACATTATACGTTTTATTTCAAAGTTATTTTGAACATACTCAACAATAATAGCTCAGTCTCTGTGTACTCCCCAGTAAAAGAAAAATATGCAGTAACTTGCCAGTGACTCAATTTCCGAGAGTAATAGCCTATTTCCACCAAAGGCTTAACTTAATAGGTAGAATTACCCTCTTCGAGTTGTAATCTCCTTTTTCCTATAGGCATAAACTGCAGTTAGGGTTTGGTGGAAATCAACTATAAGCAATAAAAGAGAGAAATATGCCAGAAAATACACAAACGATTACCTTCAAGTAGTTAGTTACTAGTTTTATTTTATTTGTATTTTTTTTTAAATAAATCGTTAAATTTTGGCAATTTTAAATAATCGAATCGGTTTCTTTCGGTTTTGCGAAGTGTTTCGGTTTGGTTTCGTTCTTGAAATTTAGTTTTGGTTTCGTTTTTGAAATAAAAATGTGAAAACAAGTTTTACAAAAAATATTATTTATTAAATAAATATGTATTCTCCAAGGTTTGCTAAAATTTTCTTTCGACTTTAAAAATTGTGGTTAATTTTAATTCATAATTCATTCTGAAGCACTGAAACAGTCTTGCAAATTGCCTATCACCTTGAAAGCGAGTTTTCTTTCATGACAAAATAAAATTTTTCATTAAATTTCAACAGCTGATTGATCAGAGTTTTGGGAAGTGAGCTTTTGTTTCCGAAAAATTGTGTGTTTTATAGATTATGAAAAAAAAAGAATAAAGACAACCCTTACGTGTGACAACTCATACGTTCCCGTATACACATATTGAATTCTGGAGTACTGGAACAGACTAAATCTGATCAGCTGTTTAACTTGACTATCAACTTGACCATCGACTTGCTAGCAATTTTCCTTTCAACTCGTGTGGCACCGTAGTACCCACTTGCACTCAGCCGTCGATTTCTGCCTTTAAAAAGCTTCTCATAAAATCCATTTGCTATTCAGAGGCGGCGTGCCGAATTATTATTGTTATTAATAAAATAAATTTAAAGGTGACTAACATAAAATCGCCCGGTTCTGAAGATTTGTCCATATGCAGGTATGTGTTTTAATGACAACATTCACAATGTATGCTGTTTTCTTAGGTTAATAAGTAAAATGGAAAATTCATTTTGAGCAGAGACTGCAAATAAAAGTGGTTATTTTTTATTTCGAAACCGAAAAGATGTAGTGACAAAAAATTTGAATTTTTGCTATTTAAAAAAAAAATGAAAAACTGTGCCTGGTATTATTTGTTTTCGAAATACGAAACAGTTTTTGCTCTAATTTTTTAGCCACTGGTAAAAGCTGGAGAAGTTTTTTATTTTCGGAATTTTTTTTGAGAGCTTTCGCAATTTTATCGTAATCTTTCAAAATTTGCGAAATTTTTTCTTGCATAGAATTTTTTTTTGGAATATTTTCGCGACTAATCGGAATTTTTCGGGACTTTTTCGAATTATTTAGCGACTTACGGTATTTCTTGTTTACTTTCATTTTTTCTTGTTTGGGTCTTACACGAAAAAATTGAAGTAAATAGTGCAATATAATTGACCTTAAGTATTATGTCTGTAGATTCTGAGGGATTCATTTATAGAAACAAATTTCCACAACTAGATTTTCGTGAATTCGCCTACTGCTAATATTCCTTCTTTGTTTTATTTTATTAAAATAATTTCTTACTAATTAATTTCTTTTACGATATGCCATAAAATTGATTTGTGATGTATAGAGTGGAGAGATTCTGGCTAATTAAGCTTCGCGAATTCCTAAGATATCCTAATTTTTGTGGAGTTAAGAATTCAGCTAGCCAAACTAAAATCAATGCTCAGTTTCTAGTATATTATTAATGCAATATTTTTGTTTCATGCGAAAATATATCGCAGTTCTTGTAACTATTCCTATATATTTAACAATAGTTTTAAATATTTTTTTTGTAAAACATTACAAAACTCTAATCTACATACATAGTTTCAAAAAAATGCTAAAAAAGTTGTCCAAAATTTTTAAAATTAAAGAACAAAATCAACGATTTTTATTTTTTATTTTTTAATAAAAATGGCTTTAACTTTCTTCAGAGTCTTTTTGCCACAACGTGTAATCTTCCTATTCGTATTTGGTTCAACTAATTGCCAACGTTGGCTGGTCATTCAGTGTACGTCTATCACCAACTTTACCGTTCATGCAATTAAAATCTTAAAGCCGCATTCCATGGTACTTTGCAAATGCCTTGCACAGGCAAAAGGCCAGAAAGATTGCAAACAGATGTACAATACCAACGCCCAACAGCACGCCAATAATTATTTCGCGGTGGGAAATGATCCAGTCGGTGAACACTTCATAGCAGCCCTGCGGAAGAAAAGAATGCAGTAGCAAATATTAAATGAATAATTTATGTACGTTAGGGTGAGCTATTTTTTTCCGACTATACGCGTATAGCACAGAAGGATTCTTCGTGTAGTTCTAAGCAAATTTTCTGAAGAGGCCATGGAACTAAAATCAATCTAAATAGGTTTCGTAGAAAATGTGAAAATTTTCAGTGTTGCGCCCTCTGGTGGAAGTTTTAAGAAAAAGTTAAGTGAAAAAATGGATTCCTCATACCAAAAACCCCCTTTCAGCATGTTTTATACAAATTAAAGCACTTCCTTACGACACTACAGCAAAATGCTATGAAACCTACTTTCGAAATTTAGCAAACCCCAAATTAATTTTAGACCCATAGTTTCTTTGGCAAATTTGCTTAAAATTATTATACGTTAATTCTTTTGTGCTATACGCGTGTAGTCGAAAAAATCTCCCACACAAATTGACCCGCCCTAATGTATATATGTAATAATTTTGTGATTTTTTTCGCATTTCAAGTGCACCTCAACTAACCTTCTTGTAGAAGCTATTGCTTTCGCTGGGATTTGTCACACAATCATCGTCACGTGGCAGTAATTGGCTCACATCCTTCAGCATGCAACAGGCATCGGGTAGCGTACGATTACCCTTGTTGCTGAGCCACGAGAGTGAGGCGTCAAAGTCGCGGTAGTCATTCACGCCACAGCAGCTCATTTGACTCATCAGTTGATTCCACATCAATGTAACGGCATCCATGTTATCGTTGGTGGAGTAATAATCGGTAATGGTGGATTGTAGGAAAGTCTTTGTCTCAGCACGCGCCTAAGTGAAGTTAAAAATAATTATTTTATTTAAAGGAATTACTGTTACTGAATAATTAAAACAAAAGAATGTACCTTCTCTTTGTAAAAAGCGCCCAGTCCACAGGCTACAATTTCAGCAATTAGCAGCATAATCATAAAGACGCCATACTGTAAAGAAATAAGGAAAGTAAAGAGGAAATATTTTTAGAATAGTCTGTTGGTTACGTATACGCCAAGGCGCGCTGTGATTAAAAGTGACTTGAGTTGCAAAACTTGTGAGCAATGGTTTACATAATAATAATAAAATACTCCGGCAGGATAATAATAATTTTTTAAATATGTACTACTTAAGTCACGAAAATAAATAGAGTGTCTGTCCAACATTTTATGTGCCTCGGTGACCAATTAGGCCAAACCGGCAACAGACGCGTTTTTATGCTTGAATTAAGTCTCAAGCAAAGTGCACCAAATTAAGTTTTTGTGTAAGCATTGAAATCTTCAAGAAAGCAATTACCTTTATACTTCCTCTTTGTACTTGGTTTGTCACAAAAATATGCCACCAGCCGAGGAAACTTTAAGCACTTTACAATGCGAGGTTGTTGTACGGAAATTGCTTGACTGTTGGTGATAGCTGTGCAATAATTTTTTACATGATTTCGCAGATTTAAAGGCATAAAATGATGTGTATTTACTCCTTTTTTAGGAGATTGAGATTGAGAAAATGCGTCGAAATCCGTTAAAGTGGGCGAAAAAGCACCAAAAGTAGACCACTTTTACATAAGTGGGTTTTTCGATGGAAGCAAAATAAAAGATGGTTCCGTGCGCAGAAGTGGAAAACTTTTGACTGTCATTCACCTGGGAGTGGCCAGAAGCAATTCTTGTGCGTACGGTTCAGATCGCAGCTCACAACGTCCGGATATTTATATCCACTTATCCTATGGGTAGCAACCAAACACCCGTTTGGGAGCGAGCTAAAGTGAGAAGGCGTAAAACTTCGCGTGCGCTGGGTTTGGATCCCTGGGTATGTACCTGGAATATCCGGACCCTTAATGGGGAAGGTGCCTCTGCCCGGCTGGTTGATGTCATCGGGAAGACAAAGGCTGACATCACCGCCATCCAAGAAATGCGATGGACGGGGCAAGGAGAAGTAAGTGTAAAGCCTTGCGACGTTTCCTACAGTTGCCACGTAAAGGAGAGCAAATTTTTTTATTAAATTCGTGGTAGGAGAGAGACTTCGTTGCCAAGTACTGCCGTTCACCCCGGTGGCGCTCATCTGCGCCCATGCCCCGACGGAAGAGAAGGACGAGGCGTCCAAGGATATCTTCTATGAGCGCTTAGAGCGTACATATGAGCGCTGCCCCCGACACGATGTCAAAATCGTGCTTGGCGATTTTAATGCCAAGGTGGGCAAGGAAGGGATCTTTGGCGCCACTGTCGGAAAATTCAGCCTCCACGACGAAACGTCCAATAACGGACTGAGGCTGATAGACTTCGCCGGGGCCCGAAACATGGTAATATGTAGTAGTAGGTTCCAGCATAAGAACATCCACCAAGCTACATGGCTGCCTCCAGATCGGAAAAACGAGTAACCAAATCGACCACGTCGTGATAGACGGAAGGCATGCTTCTAGCCTTTTAGACGTACGTACACCAAGATACGCACCCGCCTCTGCGCAGCAAAAAATGTGCGCCCAACAATGCAAGGAAAGCTTAACGTCGAAAAGCTGCAATCACAATAGACGGTATAGTTGTCAAACTATCGATGGCACTATCGATAGTATCGATAGTATCGATAGTTTCAATTGTTTTAGACTATCAATACTCATTGATAGTTTTTTCTTATACTATCAAAAATATCGATAGTTTAGTAGGACTATCGATCATCTCTCCCAATTTTTTTGAAATTATAAATACATATGTTAATCGTAAATCCCGTTTTGTTTGTATAACTTGTGTTTGTTTTTGAACTTTCTAAAAAGAGAAGTATTTTGGCTAAGCAGTTACTTAATTTTGAATGATTATAACTTTTATAAGATAATATTTATTTACCTATGATTCTGTAAAAATAAAGCAACCTAACTGATTTAGCGCTATCGATAGTGCCATCGATAGTTTTGTTTTTTTCGAGACTATCGTGAATATTGATAGTTTTTCTGAAAACTATCAAAACTATCGATGGTGTGACTATCGATAGTTTGACACCTCTAATAGACGGCCAATTTATTCGCCACTCGACTCACACACCTGCTCTCTGAGAGCACTCTTCAACAATCCGACATAAGCGAGCAGTGGAACCACATTTCCCGATCATTAGGTACCGCCGCCGAAAAATTAGTTGGAATTCAGCGAGCCCGAAAGAACAACTGGTACGATGAGGAATGTCAAGAAGCCGCAGAGAAAAAACACGCCGCCTATAGGGCTACGTTGCGATCGGGCGCAACGCGAGCCATGTGGGACCGTTATAGGGAACTGAAGAAGGAAGCGAGACGCAATAAGAAGAGAGGGGCCGAAATACGTGAGTGCGAAGAGCTTGAAATGCTGGCCGACAGGAAGAATGCCCAAAAATTTTACCAGAGAGTTAGGCGACTTACGGAAGGTTTCAAGACCATGGCGTACTCCTGTAAAAACAACAATGGCGACCTAGTAACCGATGTTCAGAGCGTACTTAAATTATGGAGGGAACACTTTTTCGCCCCGCTGAATGGTAGCAGCGCTGAAATTAGTGGGCGAACCCGAGCCCCCATTCGATGACGATGCAGTCGATGTTCCACCGCCTGACTATGCCGAGGTACGAATAGCGATAGCGCGCTTGAAAAACAACACAGTTGCTGGAGCTGACAGCCTGCCAGCTGAGCTATTCAAGTACGGTAGCGAGGAGTTTATATGCACGCATCAGCTCGTATGCAGAATATGTTCGGATGAACACATGCTCGACAACTGGAATTTAAATGTGCTCTGCCCAATAAACAAGAAAGGCGATCCCGCCATTCGCGCCAACTACTGCAGAATCAGCCTTCTAAGCATAGGTTATAAGGTCTTATCGACTCTATTGTGCGAAAGACTGAAGCCCACCGTCAACGAACTGAGTGGACCTTATCAGTGTGGCTTTAGGCCTGGCAAATCCATAATAGCCAAATCTTGGAAAAGACCCGAGAGAATTGGATCGGAACAGACCATCTATTTGTCGATTTCAAAGCAGCACGTGGCGTGTGCCGACGACATCGATATTATCTGTAAAAACAAGGGCTACGTCTGTTCTGAGAATTGAATTGAGAAGTGAAGTCCTCTCTCGTCGTACAAAGATCACACTCTATAAGTCACGCATCATGCCTGTGCTGGTGTATGGCGCGGAGGCATGACAATGACAACATCCGATGAGGCGGCTCTTGGGGTTTTCGAGAGAAAGATTCTGCGAAAGATTTACGGACCATTACGCGTTGGCGATGGCGAATACCGCAGACGATTTAACGATGAGCTGTATAAGCTTTACAACGATATAGACATAGTGCAGCGAATTAAAATTCAGTCGCTCCGCTGGCTTGGCCATGTCGTTCGAATGGACAGAAACGCTCCTGCTCTGGAAAATATTCAACGCGGGCCGCGATGCTGGTAACAGAAGGAAGGCCTCCTCTGCGTGGGAAAGACCAGGTGGAGAAGGACTTGGCTTCACTTGGTATTTCCGATTGGCGTCAGTTAGCACAGACGAGAAATGACTGGCGTGCTGTTTTGAACTCGGCCAAAATCGCTTAGGCGGTTACAGCGCTAATAAAGAAGAAGAATAATGTTGAAACACTCATCAAACTGTCATCTACATTTTTAGGTTGCCTTAGAGCACGCACAGAGCAGAAATATATTCAAATGTTTGGTATTGCTTGGATTTGGATGCCGCTCGGACCCGGAATAGAACTTTGGTGCTGCTGGGTGATAGCGCGCACCTCTAACCGCTCGACCAAGGCGGTAGCGCCTAGTTCGGGTTTTTCCCTCATAAAATTGTATTTAACTTAATACAGATAATAAATCACTAAACATGAATTTCTAAGTAAATATTAAGCATTCTGTAGCTTTATAGCGTTTTTTTCTTATATGAGACATTTTTTCCCAGATGCCAAAGATAAATTTTAAAAGGAAAGTAAATTCCATAAACATCCTCAAAAGTGTAATAGGTGATTAGATACAAACAAACACTGATAAGAATTTAATCGTAGCTTTACCCACTATGATGTGGAGATACATATTAGGAATGTTAATCCCGGGATCTCGGCCTTTTTTGGGTTGCGAACATCCCGCAAATAATCCCGGGATATTCGGGATTTATAACTTGCACTGATGACAATGATAGAAACTCCTTTTCTCGACGAGTATTGACTATGTTTATTTTTTTATTTAATAATTAGTATTTTTTATAAATGTCTAGCTCAATATACATATAGCACCGTGCGAAAGTAAATTTTACAAAAAAAAATCAAAATATTCCTGAAACCATGGGCCAAATATAGTAAAATTCCGTTTTAATTTTTTCACTCTGACGTCAGTAATTCAAAAATGATTACAAAAATTCAGTGAAATGTGCTTAGAGAAAGAGTATACCAAAGAGGTACCAAATTAGAGACAAAATTCTGTAAAATTTAAACAGATTAAATTTTTTGGTGCATAAGCACGGGTAAGTATTGAAAACGCCCTTTTAAAATGTTAGCCGTGAAATTTCGCAATATTTGTTTTTGGAAAAATTATATGTTAAGGACTTACAAAAACGCGGTAACATCTTCGAATTTTGTCCATATCAGCTTAAAAAATTACATATTCGTCCTTGTGAATCCAAAAATTTTAATTTTTTATTAAATCTTAAGAAATTTCCTCTTTTATTTGGTACCCATATCTGCCTTGAATTTTTTAAAAAATTTTTGGAATTAATCATATCTTTAAAATTACAAAGTCCTTTAAAATAAACGCTGAAGTCAGATAGAAAAAATAAAATCGCCAATTTAAATAAAAAATTAGGTTTCAAACCCATTCTTTTTTTATTTATTTTATGGTAAGAGAGCTTCTTAAACAATATGGAAGCAATTTTTTCGATTTAAGTTGTTGAAAAGTAATGAATATCCGAATCCCGGGACTGTGATAACAACATCTCGAAAATCCCGGGATCGTAAAAAGCCAAAAAAATAACA